AGCAGCAGCAGCAGTCATAGACATAGTCATGGGAATGGTACCAGCCGTCCGATTCCCAGGCCGAAAAAGTACGTACACACCGGCTTGTTTGCAGTGTGAATGGAAGTCGAGAGGTTTCAGAGTTTCGGCTGGGTGTTCGCACGGTCGGGGAACCCTAAGCCCAAAACCCCCAAAACCCCAGACCGTATTAACCCTAAACTAGACTGTCTTCAGCACAATCCAAAGTTCTGAACCCTACGTCCTAAACCTTATTTAGCATACCCAAAACCCAAACGTCTAAGCCCTGAACCCGAAACCCTCATCCCTAACTCCAGCCCTGAGCCCGAAACCCTCAGCCCTAAACCCTGCGCCCTAAACCCTCAGCCCTAAACCCTAGGCCGTAAACCCTAAGCCCTGAGCCCTAAACCGTGAGCCCTAGACCCTGAGCCGGGGTGAGGTCCATCTTGGACAGGAGCTCTTGAAACAGGAGTGCTTTTTGCGGATAAAGGAGAACACAGAGTCAACGTATTTCCTGAAACTTTCATCCCTTTTGTGCCTACAGCATGCACGGCAAAGCCCCTCATCCCTAAACCCTATATAAACCCTAAACCGACCTCGAAAGCTGCAGCCTGAACCTCAAACGTCTTGCCCTCCCGATGTCCCAGACCCTTGAGCTTTGAACGCAAGCATATCTGGGTTCTGGAGTACCATACTTGAATATTTTCTTTGGGACTTGTTCCTTAAGGGAACCATTATGAAATTAAAGCATTAAAGTCTATACTTTTTTCTCCCTGGTTACTGCAAAATCTAGTAGTAGACGCTTGCTTGATACAGAGTAGCCTGTTCATGAGTATAGTGATAGGTTTCCGGATATAAGATCCTTAAAGAAAGAACCTATCAGTCAAGAGTCTGCATTATCTGTTCAGAAATAGTGTAGAGGTTTTTCGATAGAGCCAGTATGATATATGTAAGGCCAACTATAAGGCCCGATTATTGTGGTCATGTGTCTTCACGCCGAAAGAAGCAAGAGGCGCCTAAGCCGTAAACTTTAGGCTCCAAACCCTAAATCCCAAGGCTTCAAAACCTGAAACCTTAAACCCTAAAGCCCCTCAGCCCGAAAAGTAAACCCTAAACGCTAAACCATAAACATCTGGAGCCAGGACTACCTGCTTGGCTACATGTGCTTCCGCTGCGACAAGGTGAAGCAGTCGAACTTCAAGGCCAGAGCAGGACGCCTTAAACCCCCTTTCAGAGTTTAGGGTAGGTTTGGGGTTTGGGGTTTAGGGTTTAGGGTTTAGGGTTTGGGGGTTTAGGGTTTAGGGTTTAGGTTTGGGGTTTAGGGTTTGGGGGTTTGGGTTTAGGGTTTAGGTTTGGGGGTTTATAGAAATTGTACAGGGCTTGGGTCCGGGGTTTTGAGCGAAAGTGTTGAGCGAGACCTACTTGGTAGTTTTGGGCGGTTTTGGGGCAGTTTTTGGTGGCCTGTTATTTTTTCTCTTGCTTGTGGTGAATGGCAGAAAGCAGTAGAAGTAAGTCAATTGACGTGGTGGATCCTCGAGAGGTTGAAGTAAATTGACGCGCTGGGCTGTGGTGCGTTGATTTGGAAGTACCAAAGCAAACAACAAGGGCATACAATTTCTATGTATGAGTTGCTTGAGGGTTAAGGGGTTGGGGCTTAGAAGGTTTGGGTTTAGGATTTAGGGGTTTAGGGGTTGAGGATGTAGGGTGCAGGCCACAACCTCAACCCCAACTGCTAAATCCTCTTCCAAGGGCTCTCGGAGTTGAGGCTGCTGGATGTTTTGGTCCCTATAAACCCTAAACCAATACAGGCGCCTATTGCGGAATAACTGTGGGTGAAAAGCCGCATAAAACCTGTTCTACCTCGTAAGGCACCTATATTCATACGGTGTTGTACAAGGCTTCAAAAAGGTACGGGCTCTATACGGATTCCAGTGGTCGCTTCGAACTGGGTTAGGGTCCCTGTAGGCCTTCACTAGCTGCATGTGCGATATGAAGATATTTTTTGCTGCATTGCCGCATCTCTTGCTGTGCGGCTTTTGATTGAAAAGCTGGAATGCAGCGAACCTCCATGGACATACCATATTAAGGCTATAGTATGGCTCAGGGGGGATTTGGTATACGCCTTAGAACCCAAAGCCCTAAACCCTAAATCCTAAACCCCAAACCCTAAACCCTAAACCCTAGGGGGTTTAGGTTTTAGGTTTTAGGGTTTCGGGTTTAGGTTTTTGGGTTTAGGGTTTGGGGTTTAGGAGTTTCAGAAGATGGGGGGCTCCTAAAATTTGTAGGGCTTAGGCTTAAGGGTTTAAAATTCCAGAAGATGGGGAGCTCCTAATGTTTGTAGGGCTTAGGCTGTAGGGTTTAGGGTTTCATCTTCGGAGATTGGCGGCCTGAGTTTCGGCAGAATGTTAGAATCCTTGGTGTATACTGTGAGGACCGCCCCTAAACCCTCAACCCCAAATCCCAAATCCAAGAGAAGGTACCTGCACCTGCCGCGCTGCGGTTGCCCGGCAAGCCGGAGCCACCAGACCGAGCCATCTCCACGATCTGAGCCTGAGGGGTTTTAGGGTTTAGGGGAGTGGCTCCTCTTTAGGGTTTGGGGGTTTTAGGGTTTAGGGTTTGAGGGCTGATGCTGCTTTAAGGGTTCACGGATAGGGGCTTAGGGTTCAGGGGTTTTGGGGATTTAGGGGTTTTGGGGTTGAGGGTTTGTAGGGTTTAAGGGTTTAGGGATTAGGGGTTTCTGGGTTTAGGGCTTATGGGATTGGCTCCTCTTTTAGGGTTTGGGTGTTTTAGGGTTTAGGGTTTAAGGGCTGATGCTGCTTTAAGGGTTCAGGGTTTAGGGTTTAGGGGTTAGGGGTTTTGGGGTTTTGGGGTTTAGGGTTTAGGGTTTAGGGTCTGTAGGGTTTAAGGGTTTAGGGCTTAGGGGTTTCTGGGCTTAGGGCTTATGGGATTGGCTCCTCTTTTAGGGTTTGGGGGCTTTAGGGTTTAGGGTTTAAGGGCTGATGCTGCTTTAAGGGTTCAGGGTTTAGGGTTTAGGGGTTTTGGGGTTTTGGGGTTTAGGGTTCAGGGTCTGTAGGGTTTAAGGGTTTAGGGCTTAGGGGGTTCTGGGTTTAGGGCTTATGGGATTGGCTCCTCTTTTAGGGTTTGGGGGTTTTAGGGTTTAGGGTTTAAGGTGCAATCTACGGGGTTCACACCGTAATTTGAGAGTACGTGGAGCCTGGTTCGCAAGAGCTCCCAAAAGCATGCGGGCTGCACTACCGCTTTTCACTCCAAAGCCCAAGGCGCCTGCAGCGTACATTCGCTCTCGGAACTGCACATGTGGAATGCATGAGATGCTAAAGCAATTGCACTCCCCTATATAAAAAGTCGTGAAGATTCCTTTTGGAATCTGATTCCGACCTCAAACTGCAGGCTCTGCCTTCTGAAGGCTAAGGTGGTTACGGAGTAGCGCTTCACGAAGTTGCCAAGCTGGTTTCTTCTTCGTGAGGTGGTCGGCTAACTGTGAAGCACTGTCTGCCCACTTGAAGATCTGCTTCAGATCCTCAGCTTCTTGGTCAATCTCGGTGGCAGACTCTCTGATTGCGCCGATGTCCAGAGTCAGCCGCTTCTCCTGCGTGGCCGCCAAGGGACCGTCTTTGGTCACCAGGTCGAAGAGGGAGCGGCAGTCCGTGACGGCGTGCGGGGACAGGAACCAGTTAGGTAGCTTCCCACACTGCGTCGGCTTGTAGTCTTCCAGGAGGATCTCGGCCAGGAGCTCGCGGGTGTAGATCGCCGCATCAAACCCGGCGTCGAGGCTCATGGTTTCAGCTGCCAGGGTGCTCCGGC